TTCTGCACTCCAGTCTGGGCGACAGAGTGAGACTCCAACTCAAAAAAAAAAAAAAAAAGTTAGCTGTGTTTGGGCTCGGTGACTCAGCCTATAATCCCAGCACTTTGGGAAGTCTAGGCGAGCCCGCAGGTTCAAGACCAGCCCGTGCAACTTGGCGAGACCTCATCTCTACAAGAAATAAAAAATTAGCTGGACATGGTAGCATGTGCCTGTAGTTCCAGCTACTTGGAAGACTGAGATGGAAGGATCACCTGAGCCTAGCAGGTCGACGCTGGGGTGGCCGTGTGTGTGCTACTGCACTCCAGCCTGGGCGACAGGAGTGAGACTACAACTCAAAAAAAAAAGAAAAAGTTATCTGTGACTCGGATAGCTATTACTGACAGCTCTCAAGTAGTTAGGACCTTGGGTAGATAGCCTGAGTTGTCTTTGTCTAAAACAATAGACAAATTAATTACCAAAATGAGCAGATGGTACAGAACTTGTCAGTCTCCTGACAAGTGGTCAAATCAGGACAAAGTGCTCTTTCTTTACTTCAACACCAGAATCCAGAATTTCATGCCTTAGTCTCTTACTGCTAAATGTTACATTTCATTCATACATCTCTTAAGCGATCCTTTTTCCCCTTGCTACATTTTAGATTAGTGAAAAATTGGATGATTATTTCCTCACAGAAATCAGTGAAGGGCCTTTAAGCATATACATGAGAAATCAGAATCTTGCCACTGAGAGTTATGAACCTGCTCCATATTTGTAAAATTAGAATGCCTTCTGGCTCCATTATTTTATCTTTCAGTGAGTTGCTGCTATCAGAAACTTGGATTTTTATTTAGGGATCACAAAAGAGGCAGGGAGGGAAAAGAGAAAGAAGTTAACTATGCATTCTATACATCAGGCCTGTCTGTCAGCTGTAGCTGCTGTAGTAGTCCCAAATGTAGCAGTAGATGAAGCCTCTTTTATCTTGTGTTGAATTGTCATTTCTAGTTTGCAGGGCAGAGATCTGTAAGCAGTACCCTGTCCCCTTGGGCTTAGGCTTTGAGATAGAAAAAGTATTTCCCAACTTTCTCTTTTTCTTTATTTAGAGTAGGGGAAAATACAGTACTCCCTCCTCCCCTGACCCCCAAGGCTGATCTACAAATACTTCTTGTTTTTTCATAGAAAGACATTTTGGTGAGATACCACAACCGAGCTGTGTTACATAGTAACCCTCACCCAGCATTATGATATACAGAATGATTTCTCTACATTAAAGCCTTTGCTACTCTCCCTCCCATGAAACAGCAGAGAACAACATCACTTGTCTCTGAAAGTATTGCAGGAACCCTTGGAAAGGCTGCTAAAAACTTTTTTTTGAGTCAGAGTCTCACTCTCTTGCCCAGGCTGGAGTGCAGTGGCATGCTCACGGCTGCCAGTCTTGACCTGCTGGGCTCAGGCAGTCTTTCTGCCTCAGCCTTCCAAGTAGCTGGGACTATAGGCGTGTGCCACCATACGCGGCTAATTTTTTTATTTATTGTAGAGGCAAGGTCTCACCATATTGCCCAGGCTGGTCTCAAACTCTTGAGCTCAGGCAGTCCTCTCCTCTTGGCCTTCCAAAGTGCTGAGATTACAGGCGTGAGCCACTGCACCCAGCCTTAAAAACTTATGTTCTTACAAAATATACCAAATCAGAAGGTTCTAGAGTCCACTCTGCCTTGAGAGCTAACAATTCTGTTGTAAAATATAACACGGAGGCCAGTTTGGCAGCCCTTAGGGCACTCAGAGATGGAGGAACAGGGTAGCATTGCCCTCCCTAGGAAATTGCGCTTTGTGTTCCTTCATAGCATACAGAGTCATCCTTACTTACTATTGGACAGGAGCTTCCAGAGTTTTTTCACCTATGCAGTGTGAGAAGGGGTAGAGCAGTAGTGTTCTTTTCCCGTCCCCATCTGTGCTATTAGTATCATAGGCATTCTTCCCTTTGATTTCCCCTTGCCTTGCTTTTCCACTTGGAATCCTTCATCTGTCTCCAGTGTTTTCTTCTCCAAAGGTTAGCAGGGGGCAGACCCACTGAAAGCAGTCCTTATGTAGGAAGCCAGAAAACAGCCTGACTTGCCTCCCAGTATTTTCCCAAAGCTCTCCTGTTTAATGATATTGGAATCCAAACATTTTGAACATTTCTTCTTTTCCTCCTCCACTCCCAATGAAGACTGTTGCCAGAACAGCTTTATCTAAATGCTGACAGTCTTCTAATTTGTGGGGGTGTTTGAACACCTGGGAATCAGGAAGGTGGCATAAGAGCACAATGAATTTTAACTATATTCTGAATTCTAGCTACATTTTTAATACTTACTGGAAGTGATACTTTAAAAACACATTCCCAAACAAACCAGGCTTTAAAGAACATACTGTAGTGGAGGCTCAGCAGAAATCAGCTGGTCACAGTGCACCTCTGAGATAGCTGTGATCATGGTGGTAATGAGCACTTCCTAACCTAGGACTTCCTTACACAGGTTGCTGGGTCAGTATGCAAGAAGTGGTCGATTTCCGGTCTATCTTTAGTTATGTGGGCCACACCTCTTCAAGTCAAATAAAAATGATACTCCCAGCCCAAGAGCAATTGCGTGCCAGAAGTCAGTTTAGGAATATCCTTTGGAAAGATTGAGTAGAAGGTGAAATTTTGTTTTCCTGCCTTGGAAAATAGTATTTTGAAATGAGGGTAGCTGCTTTGTCATCCCATTGCAGGGATGAGTAAAGCCTTAGTCTCTGGAGCAAACCTTCTATTAAAATTGCTGCTGTTAAGAGCACAGACTGGCGCTTGTTTTACTGGAAAGGCAAGATACCATCAGGGCAGAGAATGCCAAACCAGCCCCTATGTGGGGGATTTGGCCTTTGATTTTTATTGGCATGACAAAGCAATTCAATATTTATTTGAAGTGAGGAGGCAGCCAGGCACTCCAATTTCAGTTAGTAATAGAAAACACACTCGTACCTCCTGCATGCCAGACATCCCTGGGGAAATAGCACAGGCCCTTGTTGCCCAGTTGAGGCAGCAAGACCTACATGTCAGTGAAAATAGGTCTTCTGCCCAGGGAAGTCTGTGTGTGGGCAGGGGGCAGATCCCACGGAGGGGTGGCTAAGTAGAGCAGGGTGTATGCTTAGGGGCTCCTGGGAGTCAGGGGGCCTGCGGTCAGATCCCAACTCCTCTTAGGGTACATGAGTCACCTCTCCACATTCCTTCTGCAAAAGAGGGAGTGCCCTCATGGCCTGGTGCATGCTGGATAGGCGTTAGCTCTTACCATTTAACTAGACCTTGACAAATGAGTAGAGCTGAGGAAGTGGCATGAGGTAAGGAAAGACTTGAAGGTGGAAATGTGTGTGTGTTCAGAGAAGGGAGAAAACTGGTCTGGGCTCGCTGAGGGCTTTAGGGACCAACACTGACTGTCCTCCTTTGTATAAGTTTTAACCCTTGTGTTACTGAGCTGCTTTCTGGGCACTTACTCTAGCAACTGCCCTAACCAAAAAAAGCTATGCTCTGGGTACCAGTGTAGTGTGGAAAAAGAAAAATCCCTCAGTGCCCTTGGCTAATTTGCTAGATCAGGTCTTTACTGGAAAATCAGAGTCAGAGTGATGGGATCGCTTTCATTTCTGCTAATGAAAGTACAGCCTGTAAAGCTGACTTTCATTCTGGGTCCTTTTCCCAGCTGAACCATTTAGCAGCCCACTCTCATAGTAGGAGCCTTCCGTACTCAGCTGAATAAAATTGAAAATCTACGATTGCACTTCAGTGAGGTCCATGAATAGATGCTTTGTCTGTAAAGAGTTGTTGTTGCACATGGTCTCTGTCTCCCAGTGCCATGTGTTTGCAAAGACCAGATCAGGATCTCAGAGTCTTATTTTAAAGCCAAGAAACAGGCTAGGGAGCCTTGCTCCACAAAATGCACCTTTTAGGCATGCTCAGATTGCTGAATTTGGTATGTTTGACAGCGGATTTAAATAGAAGACTTTATTGGCTATTTACCCTTCTATCTGATATGCTCTTATTTTGGTATTAAAAAAAACAAAACAAAATAGAATAATAAAGAGTATCTTTCACCCACTGTAGCTACCACATGACAAGACAACCTATTGAAAAGCTAACCATTTCAATCATGCATTGTTTGGTCTATGAGGCACCAAGTAACCAGTTTGACAGTTTGTGGCCCCCCTAGTGAATTGGCTTATTTCATTGGATTCAGTGAATTGGCTGGTTGTTGTGGCTTTGTGGGGACACAGCTCTCATTTTGTAAGGCCTAGAA